CTCTGTTGTACCTTCCTAATTATTTGCAAACATTACCTTTTTTATTGTCTTCAACTCTCATATAAATGATAATTTTTTATGGGAAACATTTAGGGATACCCATCACTATGGATGCAAATAGAAGATGACGGATGTAAACCCACAAGGATCACGCAGAAGAAAGCGAAGAGGGATGTTTCTGACGACATTATGTTTGATGTACGAGTACTATAACACATACATTGATCGATCGCCATGCATGACATCTTCTTATATTGGCGATAAATGGGTTAGAGAGTTGCTTGCGGGGCACCCAACACGCTTTTGTAATATGTTTCGAATGAGCCGGACAATATTTATCGATCTTCTGGGCTTACTCGTAGGATCTCACGGTCTTCATGGATCCTCCAGGACCGATCCACGTGAGGTGCTTGCAATAACACTGTTCATATTATCCCAAAACGAGTCTATACGAGGAGCGATGGAGCGATTTCAACACTCATCAGAAACAATAAGCAGGTATTTCTCAATCGGATTGAGCACACTTGTTAGCTTGTCCTCTCATGTCATCAGACCCTCAGATACTTCGTGATATGCCTCCCTACAATTTTTAGAAACAGGTACAGATTGTCTGTGCTACAATGACTCTTCATAATTACATAAGAATACATCATTTCCGTAGCGATATCTACTTTCATTTGGCGGAAGAGGATGAAGAAAATGTGCATTCAGAAGCATTTGAATACCGGCTAAGTCAGTCTTTCACAGAAGAAGAGACCGAGACTTTCATTGCCTTCACTGTTGATGGGGAAGGTGCAAGCGAGATGACGGAGCCGAGGGAACGAATTACTGATGAGATAGTAGGCCTATGAATGAAGAATTTGAGATGAAAAGTAATTCTTATGTGCCATGTATGTAAATAAACAATTAAGGAGTCGTTGTCTCGTGGTGAACTTGAAGTATGCTTACACGGATAGTTACTTATTCTGTTTTCTTTACATCCTTCATGATGATTTTTTTTTCCCTAGGAATTGATGCGTTGAGTAGTTACCTTGGTAATTTCCCTTCCATGTTCTCAATGCTGCTCCATTGTTAATTTTCTTAACATGTCTCTGTAAAGCTATTTGAAGCTTCTTGTGTGAAGGATTATAATATTATCCCAATTTGATGCATTTGTTGGTGTTCATGGAGCACTAGTTTGTGTTAAA